ACGCTCAGGTGACAGAGACACTCAGTCAGAGACGCTCAGGTGAGTCCAGTCAGAGACACTCAGTCAGAGACGCTCAGGTGAGTCCAGTCAGAGACACTCAGTCAGAGACGCTCAGGTGAGTCCAGTCAGAGACATTTAGGTGAGTCCAGTCAGAGACACCCATGTGACATCATAGCGAGGAGAGAATTCGAATGTTTAAACTTATGCTACCGATTGGCCGGCTGATTGACCAACGGTGAAGCAGTGACTTTTGCATGCTGAGGCCGAAGAGTGAGGTAGGACGAGAACTGTCCTCCTGTTTACGATGTGACTGCTCTGAGCTCTGAGCCACCTTTGTACTCCCGAACGAGACAGACTCCAGGAGACGGAGACAAAAAAAAAAACAAAAAACAAATAAGAAATAAAAAAGAAGAAGCTGTGTAGTGTTTGCAGGCTGGAGGGAGGGGGCAGATTACATATCTCTGTGTGTCTGTGTGTGGGTGTGTGTGTGTGTGTGTGTGTGTGTGGTGACAGGAAGGGTGTGTGTCCCCCAATGCTTTCATCTCCACACTCAGGATTTAGGAAGAGGAAACTACAAACACTCATTTTTTAACCTTTGAAGTTTTGGCAGTTCGGCCGCTGTGACATCACAGAGCTATTGACCAATCCCAAAGCTGCGTCACTTATTCTCTTTGGGACACTGTTGACAAAAAAAAAATCATTTTGAAGCGAGCACTTCCCAACCCAACAATTCCTCTTGTCGTTACTTGCTGTCCCCTCATACAGCTGCAGGGGGCGGGGATTTCTACACCTGGAGGGGGCGGGGCCTGCAGGTAAGAGCCGGTAACTGCTCAGCATCTGAGCTGAGCCTCAGTCTGAGGAGGAGACGCTGCGGCTGCACATGAAGGTGAGACAAAGACACAGGATTTTTTTTTTTTTTTTTAATTTTCTTGATATTAAATCTCCTAAAGTCGTCTTTGTTCTCTGATCATCCGTTCAAACGATTAAACCCACGACATGGTAGGAACTGCGTGGACATGGACACCGCACACCAAACCTCAGTGGAAAAAAAATTTGGTGATTTCAGTTCAGAGATACAGAAGGCATCTTCTTGTCCATTGAGTCTTAGCGAAGACCATTTATCACAGGCCACAAGTGAATCAATTCCTTAGTCCAGTAAGCATACGTGGGTCAAACACTGCCATCTTTTTCCATGTACATTTACAGACAGATGTTCTGTGGTTTTTTTTTTTTTTTTTTTGGAACTGGTAATTGTTTAGACAGAAATATCTAGAATGAGACAGAAGTGCAGCATTAAAAAAAAAAATCTGTTATTTTTACACACCTAATTGGAAATATATAAGTAAATACGTTTTCTTGCCAGGTTTTTATAATTGATTAATTTTATATTTTGTTTATCAACATGTCACTTCCTGTCTCTCTCTTTTTTTTTTTCTTTTTTTTTTAACCAGTTCAGCATGAACACCTCCTTCCCTCCTCCAATCACTGAGAATCGTTCCCATCTCGGTGTGCCGCCCCCTGCAGGATTTATTGAGGGCCATGCTGTATCACAGCAACTCCTCTTCTGTTCCTCAAGCATAGACACCACAGGCCTGACCCTCTACAGGGGCCCCGCCCCCACCTTACTGCCTTACCTCACACAATTCACCAACCGCCATGGCCACCTCACCGTCTACGAGTGTCCGTACGAGCCAGCGTTCATCCAGAAACGGAACGAACGGGAACGTCAGAGGGTCAAGTGCGTGAACCAGGGCTATGCAAAGTTGAGGCAGCACCTGCCGGGTCAGAACGCTGACAAACGCTTAAGTAAAGTGGAGACACTACGGGCAGCCATCAGCTACATCAAGTACCTGCAGAGTCTGGTGCAGCTGGGAGACACCAACGGTACCAACTACAAACGAGATCCATCGCCGTGAGAGTCCACTGCGGGAGCCCAGCGAGTCACATGATTTGATATACTGTCAGCCTCTAGAAGAGGGCGCTCAGAAGAAGCCTTAGAAATCTGTTCATATACCAAAGAACAGTACCAGAGATGTTCCCTAAGACAATTCCAGAACCATTCAGTTTTTCCGGACTAAACTCCAACAATGGTCTAGAACCTGAACAGCGATAGAAGAAGATTTAACAAGGAACAGGGAAACAAATCCAAAACCAGAACGGAATGAGAATCTACAACAAGAGATCCAGCTCCGGTACCCAAACTGAACCACTACAACAATCCCGACATTGACATGTGATCCTTCGAGTCCAGATCTCCATTAGAAGAACTGGTAAAAGAGGCCAAAACAAGGATGTAGAGCCATAACCTGATGACATGGCCAGAACCAGAAGCAAACAAAAGCCAAAAATATTTGAAGAGCTAAGACCCAAATAAGAATTTGACACCAAGGAGGTGGTTCCTAAAAAAAGTTTTAAAAAAAACGGACCAGTCTAAAATCAGAGCTAAACACAAGAGGCCAAAACCAGGGGACGGGTCCATGACAGGTAGATGATGTTCTAGATCAGAATCATTTAAGAATGGCAAGAATAGTTCCAGAGCGGAAGAATCCAGAGCCAGAACTGTCCCAGATTTTTTGACCATTTTATAAAACAGAATAAAGTATCAGTGGAAAAACCCCAGACTTTTGTTTGTTTTTTTTTTTAGTCTGAGAGCTAACACTTAAGACTAAAAGAAGGATTCTGTATTTTATTTTCACTCATTTGGTCAGTGTTGAGCATGCAGCTCCACTGCACTGGCCTATAGGTGGTGCTGAGTGAAAACACGCTGGAATGAATGAAGGAAAACATTTAGGTTGTGTGTACACTGTAAAAAAATAAACCTTATTAAATACATGTAGCATGATGTATGCTATCAGGGGGGGGGCTAACATCCAGCTTGCTGGTGCTAGCTTATCATTATAGAGTTGAGTTGGCCCTCATCAAGGCTTGGTTTAGCTAACTGTGCTAACAGCCTCAGCCATTGAATTAGTGTCATTCCGCCACACACTCGGTCTAACAGGTAAATATTTGACATCGAGGACATCCTGATGTGTCGACAGACTGAAGTTAACAGGGATTACATTTTCCTTGCACCACTAGAGGGAGACAAGAGGTACGTGTACCATAGTTCAAAAGCAAGTAGATTTGAAACAGGTTCACAAAGTAATCCTTTTTAACGGTACTTACAGTATACACCTTGATTCTTAACAGCAGTGATTTTACTACATTATAAAGTGCAACTATTAATCATTAGTTAATGACGAAACAACCAACTGTGGAACTGTTTGTATCATTACATACGATTGATCTGAAACAGTATGACTCACGACAGAAGAGTTGAAGCAGTCACACGCCCGCACATCTTTATTAGATGTTTATAAATTATCATAAACTCTGTGACAGAACAGAACAGTCAATCTGACTATTGATGGATTATTGATGGATTTACACGCTGGGATCAATCACTCGGCTTATTGAGAACACAACATGAACACCCATGGAAACATGAGGCCCCACCTCAATGAGCAGATGAAGCAAAAATCATAACTTCTATTGATTAGTATTGATTCTTTTTTTTAAAATACTGGTGACATTATAATTATTTCACAGGCGCATGTGTCTGTGTGAACACTCACCGTTTCAGTCTAGAGTTTGGGCACATGACTGTATCGGTGTAAAAAACCTTACTGGTCAAGTGCAGGACTTGACCACTGTGAATCCTTTACAGAGAATCATACCTGTGACCGTGATAATTTTTTCCACCTAACAACGTAGAGCCCCCAAGCTGAAACATGCCATATACTATATATATACATATATATATATATCTATATAGATATAGATATATATATATATATATACATACATATACATATATATATACATACATATACACATATACATATAGATATATATATATATACACATATATGTCCATATATATATACATATATATGTCCATATACATACATATATATACATATATATGTCCATATATACATATATATACATATATACACATATATACATATATATATACATATATATATAAAAACAAAACTGAAAACCTTGATTTTCCTTTCTTGCTTGCTTGAACACTGCAGCATCAGTATTTGGATAAAACATAGCTCTTAGCATCTGCAGCTAAAGTGTGAGGTGGAGCTAAAAGTAGTCAACTGTTGAACACAAAAAAAAAAAAATGTTTTTCAGCTGGTGTTTCTTGGGTTCATGTTCCTTTACAGGCAGAGATACTGTTGATGGCACAGTGGTGAACACGCGCACGCAGAATTAATCAACGATCATTAACACCGGTTATTGATCAACACTGAACTGATGAAGGAAAATCCAGTCTGTTTGATGTGAAGATGAAGAAATACTAATGACACACACCAAGACCTGGACCAGGGCTGACACTTGGGGCCGACACCCTAGTCGCTCCAGTAGCTGAATAGGTTAGTCTCAGGCTTTTCTTCAATGGACCTGACTTTTACGTCAGGCTTCCTGGACCGCTAGGCGGAGGAATACACGCTGGCGATGCTGCGGCTGCAGGCAGAAGGCAATGCTCTGCTCGACCTCCTGACAGCGACGAAGAAAGCGACATCGGTCTCGGGCCAGCTCCTCCCATGGACCCCGACGGTCCTCCTCGCCCTCACTACAGCTGGCAAAGAACTCTTCTACGTGTTCACAGAACCGCACCTGTCAGGACGATGGAGGAAAGGGATGTCACCAGATCAGTAGAAGCACGTAGAGGTCACAACAGCACAATCATAAGACAAACTGTCAGAGTCCACCCTGGAAATGAGTGCAATTTTCACACCAGGTAGAACCAGAACCTTCGAGAAGGACCTGGCGTTAACTTCATTGTCAACACAAGAAGAATATAAAAACATGTATTCTGGCTATTTTCTGAGGACACTGGTGACAGGAACTAGTTATGTCCTCTCAGGTAAGTCCCAAAAACTATAACTCAAATTCACACTGACCTTTTTG